CATGCATATATATGTTTGTGTGGATGTCTGCGTATAAATGTATGCATGTTTGTACATACATGTACATACATATATACATACATACATATTTACATGCATACATATGTTCATACACATGTACATGCATATATACATACAAACATGCATATATGCATATGTACATATGTACACACTTATATATGTACATACCTACATTTGTACATACATACATATGTATATGCATACATACAAAATTTAATGCATACATACATACATTTTTACATACCTACATATGTAAGTACATACATATATGCATACATACAAACATAAACAAAAAAGCAAAAACAAAAAATAAATAAAAAATACAAAAAAAAAACACTGCACTCTAGCTAAGCATTAAAAACAGCAGAGCCTACTTGAATACTTGAGAATCGAGGAGTAGAGCCCTAGGTAGAAATTCGATTTATTAAAATTTAAGCTAAGCTAAGCTTGGTTTGCGTTTTAGAAAACAAACTTGCATGCATACACATGTATATAAATGCACACATACATGCATTCACACACTAACACACACGCTCACACATGCACACACATACATACACAGACACCAACATATAATACTCGTGTATTTACAGACAATAATACAAACATACATATATATATATATACTTACACACATTTGTGTACACACATACTTGTTATACATACACATATAATACATTCGTATAAACACAAATTCTAACAAAGAGAAAGTAAATGGCGACCACAACCTTTTAATACAACAGACTTACTTGAAATTTATGAGAATCGCATAGAAAGGAAATATTAAAAATACATGCTAATTAATTGTTTGTGCTATGGAAAGTAAACATGTTCCTCGCATGCTATAAAAGAACACACATGCATGATTGTCTCCATATGTTACATACACACTTGATCATCAATCGGTCAGTCAGTCAATCCTTTAGTCAGTCAGTCAATCAGGGCAGTTTTGTAAAAGACAATAGATAAAACAGGTATAGCAGTGAAAGCAAAATTCGACCAAAAAATCGGTGTCGAGATTTGAATGCCATATTAATCTAGAGGGAAAACCATGAAGAAAAATCCCACCTTCGTGAAAATCGGATGAGATTTGGCCGAGATATGGGAGTGTTAATATTTGACCCATGTCTATACACGAATCTTGGGGTAAGATTTGGACATGAATTTCGACCAAAAAATCGGTGTCGAGATTTGAATGCCACATTAATCTAGAGGGAAAAACATGAAGAAAAAGCCAAACTTCGTGAAAATCGGATGAGATTTGGCCGAGATATGGGGGTGGTAATTGTTGACCCATGCCTATATACGAATCTTGGGGTAAGATTTGGACATGAATTTCGACCAAAAAATCGGTGTCGAGATTTGAATGCCATATTAATCTATAGGGAAAACCATGAAGAAAACGCCAAGCTTCATGAAAATCGGATGAGATTTGGCCGAGATATGGGGGTGGTTTGACCGAATTATGGGGGTGGTAATTTTTGACCCATGTCTATATACGAATCTTGGGGTAAGATTTAGACATGAATTTCGACCAAAAAATCGGTGTCGAGATTTGAATGTCACATTAATCTAGAGGGAAAACCATGAAGAAAAAGCCAAACTTCGTGAAAATCGGATGAGATTTGACCGAATTATGGGGGTGGTAAATTTTGACCCATGTCTATATACGAATCTTGGGGTAAGATTTGGACATGAATTTCGACCAAAAAATCGGTGTCGAGATTTGAATGCCACATTAATCTAGAGGGAGAACCATGAAGAAAACGCCAAACTTCGTGAAAATCGGATGAGATTTGGCCAAGTTATGGGGGTGGTAATTTTTGACCCATGTCTATATACGAATCTTGGGGTAAGATTTGGACATGAATTTCGACCAAAAAATCGGTGCCGAGATTTGAATGCCACATTAATCTAGAGGGAAAAACATGAAGAAAAAGCCAAACTTCGTGAAAATCGGATGAGATTTGGCCAGGTTATGGGGGTGGTAATTTTTGACCCATGTCTATATACGAATCTTGGGGTAAGATTTGGACATGAATTTCGACCAAAAAATCGGTGTCGAGATTTGAATGCCACATTAATCTAGAGGGAAAAACATGAAGAAAAATCCAAACTTCGTGAAAATCGGATGAGATTTGGCCAGGTTATGGGGGTGGTAATTTTTGACCCATGTCTATATACGAATCTTGGGGTAAGATTTGGACATGAATTTCGACTAAAAAATCGGTGTCGAGATTTAAATGCCACATTAATCTAGAGGGAAAAACGTGAAGAAAAAGCCAAACTTCGTGAAAATCGGATGAGATTTGGCCGAGATATGGGGGTGGTAATTGTTGACCCATGTCTATATACGAATCTTGGGGTAAGATTTGCACATGAATTTCGACCAAAAAATCGGTGTCGAGATTTGAATGCCACATTAATCTAGAGGGAAACTCATAAAGAAAAAACCAAACTTCGTGCAAATCGGATGAGATTTGACCGAATTATGGGGGTGGTAAATTTTGACCCATGTCTATATACGAATTTTGGGGTAAGATTTGGCCATGAATTTCGACCAAAAAATCGGTGTCGAGATTTGAATGCCACATTAATCTAGAGGGAAACCCATGAAGAAAAAGCCAAACTTCGTGAAAATCGGAGAAGATTTGGCCGAGATATGGGGGTGGTAAATTTTGACCCATGTCTATATACGAATCTTGGGGTAAGTTTTGGACATGAATTTCGACCGAAAAATCGGTGTCGAGATTTGAATGCCACATTAATCTAGAGGAAAAAACATGAAGAAAAAGCCAAACTTCGTGAAAATCGGAGAAGATTTGGCCGAGATATGGGGGTGGTAAATTTTGACCCATGTCTATATACGAATCTTGGGGTAAGATTTGGACATGAATTTCGACCAAAAAATCGGTGTCGAGATTTGAATGCCACATTAATCTAGAGGGAGAACCATGAAGAAAACGCCAAACTTCGTGAAAATCGGAGAAGATTTGGCCGAGATATGGGGGTGGTAAATTTTGACCCATGTCTATATACGAATCTTGGGGTAAGATTTGGACATGAATTTCGACCAAAAAATCGGTGTCGAGATTTGAATGTCACATTAATCTAGAGGGAAACTCATAAAGAAAAAACCAAACTTCGTGCAAATCGGATGAGATTTGACCGAATTATGGGGGTGGTAAATTTTGACCCATGTCTATATACGAATTTTGGGGTAAGATTTGGCCATGAATTTCGACCAAAAAATCGGTGTCGAGATTTGAATGCCACATTAATCTAGAGGGAAACCCATGAAGAAAACGCCAAACTTCATGAAAATCGGATGAGATTTGGCCGAGATATGGGGGTGGTAAATTTTGACCCATGTCTATATACGAATCTTGGGGTAAGATTTGGACATGAATTTCGACCAAAAAATCGGTGTCGAGATTTGAATGTCACATTAATCTAGAGGGAAACTCATAAAGAAAAAACCAAACTTCGTGCAAATCGGATGAGATTTGACCGAATTATGGGGGTGGTAAATTTTGACCCATGTCTATATACGAATTTTGGGGTAAGATTTGGCCATGAATTTCGACCAAAAAATCGGTGTCGAGATTTGAATGCCACATTAATCTAGAGGGAAACCCATGAAGAAAAAGCCAAACTTCGTGAAAATCGGATGAGATTTGGCCGAGATATGGGGGTGGTAATTGTTGACCCATGTCTATATACGAATCTTGGGGTAAGATTTGCACATGAATTTCGACCAAAAAATCGGTGTCGAGATTTGAATGCCACATTAATCTAGAGGGAAAAACATGAAGAAAAAGCCAAACTTCGTGAAAATCGGATGAGATTTGGCCGAGATATGGGGGTGGTAATTGTTGACCCATGTCTATATACGAATCTTGGGGTAAGATTTGCACATGAATTTCGACCAAAAAATCGGTGTCGAGATTTGAATGCCATATTAATCTAGAGGGAAAACCATGAAGAAAACGCCAAACCTCGTGAAAATCGGATGAGATTTGGCCGAGATATGGGGGTGGTAATTTTTGACGTATGTCTATATACGAATCTTGGGGTAAGTTTTGGACATGAATTTCGACCGAAAAATCGGTGTCGAGATTTAAATGCCACATTAATCTAGAGGAAAAAACATGAAGAAAAAGCCAAACTTCGTGAAAATCGGAGAAGATTTGGCCGAGATATGGGGGTGGTAAATTTTGACCCATGTCTATATACGAATCTTGGGGTAAGATTTGGACATGAATTTCGACCAAAAAATCGGTGTCGAGATTTGAATGCCACATTAATCTAGAGGGAAACCCATGAAGAAAACGCCAAACTTCATGAAAATCGGATGAGATTTGGCCGAGATATGGGGGTGGTAAATTTTGACCCATGTCTATATACGAATCTTGGGGTAAGATTTGGACATGAATTTCGACCAAAAAATCGGTGTCGAGATTTGAATGCCACATTAATCTAGAGGGAAAACCATGAAGAAAACCTGATATATATGGTAATAATTTTCTTATTTTTTATATATTCAAAGTTAATGAGCTGGGGGATGGTTCCGCTGACAGAGGTGTTAGGCGGAGAGGGGTTGGTTTCTGGCCAGAAGACAGGAGCGCGCTTAGAAGACGAGAGCGCTAAACTAAAGTTCTGATGCTCGACTAAAACTCACCACTTGGTGCTTGGACGTCGGGCACTTGTGCGCATGTCGCCGAGGGTTGGGGTCTGTGTGGTGGTAGGGGGAGGGGTTGGCGATAACAGAGGGTGGCACACGTAACCATATGATAATGATATGCCAGCACAAGCACATACAAATTCCAATTGGTGGTGGAAAATAACAAAAAACCTTTCCAGCTGTGCGTCAAATAGGGGTAGATAGATATATTTCGAATTCAAATTGGAAAATCGAGCAGAACAGCGCGAGACATTGGCGAGTGCGGAGTCCGGAGTGCAAAGCGCGCTGTCAGAAGCGGTTGGGAATTACAAGAAGTCCAAGAAAAAAGGGAAAAAATTAAAAGTGCAAAATGCAAACAAGTGCAGCCAAGGAGCTGCGCCACGAGTGAAAGTGGAGTCGGAAGCAACTCACCAAGCGGCCACCTGAGCTGCCCGAGCAACCCCCACACACACACACACACACACACACACACAGCACACACCCACCCCCATTTGTTCTTTATGATTATCGTGTTGTTGCTGCTGTTCCAATCGCTGTGCCTCTACTGCCAACGCCTGGTGCTGCACGTCCACGACAGATGCTTTCCGCGCAACGCCCGCTTGCTGCAGGAGTCCGCCGAAACGGTGGGCGATCGTAAGGCGCTGCAGCACCTGGAGCACCTGCAGCTGGAGCAGAGCCGACGGCGCCACAAGCGTCGCATACTGGAGCCCATTTTGCCGCTGGGCGCGGGGCTCAATCTGGAAGCGTGCCGCTTCTGTGCGCACAGTCCGCAGGGCTATTGTCGGCATCATTTCCATCTGCAGCTGCATACGCAGCGGCGCAACGGCGGCGGCGCCGGCGGCACTGGCAGCGGCGGTGACCAGGACTACAAGCAGCTGCGCAGGATCAGGCGTGAGCTGAAGCGCAGTCTCGAGCCAAGAAGCAGCCATCGCATCATCAATTATCTGCCATACAGTCGCAGCACGAGCTCGCTGAGCAGCGGCTACGGCTCTCAGGCAACCTTACAGGAGGAGCAGGAGGAGACGTCCGGCTATCTGGAAGAGGAGCAGAAGGAGCAGGAGGAAACGTGCAGCAACAGCAGCAGCTATCTGCCGGAGCTGCAGGAGGACGTGCAGCTGGAAGTGCAGGAGCAGCAACTTTTGATAACCAGCCATCTCTAAAGCAGTAGCAGGAGAAGATCTGTAGCAGCCTCTCAGGAGGACGAGGGACAACAGCAAGAGGAGCTATCAAGAGGAGCAGGAGGAAGTGCAGGAGGAGACGGAACGAGGAGGAGGCGCAACGAGCAGGAGCAGACTTATAGCAGCTGCAGCTATCTGGAGGTGTAGGAGGAGGCACAGCAGCCTCTCAGGAGGAGGAGACGGACAACAATAAGAGGAGCAGGAGGAGGCACAGCAGCACCTTTTGATAGACAGCACACTCGACGCCGCACAGGAGGAGGAGACGGACTATAGCAGCAGCAGCAGCTATCTGTTGGAGTAGGAGGAGGCACCTTTTGATAGACAGCCTACAGGAGGAGGAGGAGGCGGACAACAGCAGCAGAAGCTATCAGGAGGAGGCTGAGCACCTCTGCAGGAGCAGGGTGTGGGCAAACCATTTGAAGAGCAGCCCGGCCAGCACTCGAGTGGGCTCTAGAATCAAGTAGGCTTTAGAAAGTCTTTTGTACAAATTTGTTGTGAATGTTTTACATTGCCATATTGACGCAGTAGCTGAAGCATCATTTAAGAATCGTTAGCGCAATGTCCGACATAGAATTGGAGCAACAGCAGCCCCCACAGATGCTGGCGCAGACGCCGCCGCCGACGCGACGACGACGCCAGGCGCACTCGCGCTGCGATGGAGGCTATACGGGCGCCCAGGAGAAGCGCTTGCAGCAGGCGCTGGCGGATCAGCTGTCGACGTGCCCGCTGCGGCATGGCGTCGAGGACGACTGGACGTGGAGCAAGCGCTATCGCTCCAAGGAGGTGGTGCTCAGTGGTCACAATTCGCGCACCGTCCACTTTCATCCCAACTGGAGCAAAGGCACCGCCGGCATCCAGGGCAAACGCGCCCTCAACAACGGCCGCTACTACTGGGAGCTGCATGTGTCCCAGCGGGTCTTTGGCACCTCCATTATGTTTGGCATCGGCACCAGATCCTGTCGCCTGCACGCGAACGCCTTCCGCAATATGCTCGGCGAGAACGAGCACGGCTGGGGCCTCTCCCACAAGGGTAAGCCAATTGATGAACCAATCTTGAATAAAAATATATAACAATTTTCCTATATATCTTCCAGGCATTCTTTGGCACAAAGGCGTGGCTCTTGTATACACTAAGGGATTCCGCGAGAATCATCCCACGCAAATTGGCGTGCTCTACGATGGCATTGAAGGCACCTTGACCTACTACAAGGACGGCAAATGCCTGGGCGTGGCCTTTAGAGGCTTGGATAAGGTAAGTTGCGAGAGCCTGTTGAAGGGAGAAGGTCAAATTGAAGGGAACGGGGATTCCCAAAAGACTTTCCGATAACTCTTCAGCAATTTCACAATATCGATTCACATCGATTTTCAGATAATCGATATCGATTCAAATCGATTAACAGATCGCCTGATCTTAAAATTAAATATCGATCTTGGGATAAATCTTACCTTACTCTAAGATATTGCTAAGGGAAATAGCTAGATCGACACATCTCATTGATCTGATCATTATATATATACCATATCCTGGATACTCTTGTTACCAATTTTCAGTTAGTTGGGGATGCTTCCCTCTCACAAGATATCTATCTATCTATATCATTTCCTCAGGTGAACGAACCGCTATATCCCATCGTATGCTCCACGGCGGCCAAGACCGAGATGACGCTCAAGTGTGCCAGACGGGAATTCGTTAATCTTCAGGATCGGTGTCGGGCGGTGATAATGCGAAGATTACGGACCGCTGGCAATGTGGAAAAGCTAAAACTGCCGCTCTCCATAAGCGAGTATCTGGGGGAGGTGATCGATGACATGGAGCCACTGCGTCAGGTAGACAACTATGATATATTGTGTGGCTTCTAGAGTTCCATTTTGGCTATAGCATATAGGGCATATGTGAATGTGTGTAGCATATAGATATCTATGATAACCTATATGTATGTATATTATAGGTAAATGAGCAGGAGATGTGCATGATTAATTATGATTTAGAAGTGTAAGACCCGAAGCGTGGCCCGTGAAGCTCTGTATTGTGCCATAATTTTGGGATGTGCACTCTTTGAAAATATGATGAAGCGAGTTCTGTAAATCTCAAGTATGAATTTCAAGAATTTTTCTTGTTACGAATCGTTTTTGTTCACAATTATTATTATTTAAAGAAAAAAAAAGGAGCATAAAAACTCGATTTGTTTTTGTTTGTGATTTTTCTCTCTCTCTAACGCTTTCTGTTGAAATTGTAGCAAAAATGTTTCCGGTAATAGGCCAATTAGGTGCAATATTTGTGATATAAGACAGAGGCGGCAATTCCAATGGCACCCACAAATGGCGCCTGTATAGCAAAAATAAAATAAAATTAACATTAATAACTATTTCTAATAACTAAAGCTAAGCAATATAGAATTATACATTTATTTTTTGGTACGAGTGTAAAATCTAGTCAAAGCTGCTTCACACTATTGTCGAGCCCAAGAAGTCTGTAAACATTTGGCAGCACATTAGGCAGCTAATAATATTAAGCAAATGTTAATAATTAATTAATTTAAACAAATCAAGTAGCATTCCAGTTGCAAACAGTTTCGCTCCGATTCTAGTCCAAATGTGCAAAATTTTACGATCTCTCTCTTAACTATATATATATATATATATTATGCATAGATCGTAAGTATGGAATTTTTTCAAAACTGCAAGAACACTTTATAGAACTTAAGAACTTAAGTACTTATAAAAGCAGGCTTAAGCCAGACAGACAAATAATTTAGCAAAAATTATTTATGTATTCATATTGTAGCTTCTTAGTTTTTTTTGGTGTCTATATAAATTACTACGATGTATAAATGGAGCGTGTGTTAAGTAATCAAATCTGTAGACAATGGCATACAACAATAAAAATAATCTATTATATAATATGCACAGATATGCATATACGGTATGTCACATGAATTTGCATAAATAAAGCATTAATTTACTAACTAAATGAATAAAATACAATACTAAGCACAGATTCTTCTAGCAAATTCGTGATATGGTTTACAGTTCATCGGACAAGCGATGTATATTTTGCAAATGATCGCCATAGTCGGTGGCCTCGCTGCCTACGAATGTGTCGTAGTTATTGAGGATCTCCAGGTACGACAAACGATCGTCGTGATCCTCATCGGTGGACACAAACAAATGATCCACCTCATCGTCGGCTATGACCGAATTGCTGGGCACAATCCAGGAAAGTACCTGAAAACAACAAAAAAACATTTAAGGACCTGGACTCTATATATATATATCAATTGCAAGCGGCACCTCATTGCCCGAGAGCACACCGTCCCCGTTGGCATCATAGTCTTTGTCGAAGCGTTCCTTTTCTGTTATCAGCCACTCCTTGTCGTGATGTGCGGCCGCCGCGCCCACAAACTCCTGGAAATCGATTTTGCCATCATGATTTAGATCCTTATCCTGCATCGTGTGCTCCAGCAGCACGGGCAACATTTGTGGATGCTCCTCGGGATTTTGAAAGTATACATATTCCTCCAGACTGAGCATGCCATCTTTGTCGGTATCGGCCGCATGAAACATTTCCTTGTCCTGTTTTATCATTTTCTGCTCATCCTCGTAGGTATCGAAATCGATGACGTCTTTCTTAAAGTTCTCATCCTCCATGGCATAGGTGTCCTGCAAATACTCAGTCCAAGTGATTCGATCGTCCAAATCCTGATCGATTTCCTCAAAACGATCCGCTGCTTCCTCCTCCGACAGTTTTCTGTAAAATGTAAATGATATTTAGCAAGGCTTTCAATTGATTAACCGATTCACAGACACATGCGGCGGGCAGGCTTAGCAAAGGCATTAGTTTCTTTCGAGGTGGCCTTTCTAAAAGGGCAGCCATACTCTGTTATGGATAGCTTGGGTTAATCAACAAACAACACTCACTTAAAAGACCTTAAAATCCATGCTTTCAACTCATGCCGATCGATAAATTCATCGCTATTCAAATCCATCATCTTGATAAGTATGGCCAGTCGCCGCTTGGACTCTTCCGGTGTCAGCGTGTCAAATTCCTGCGCCTCTTTTGTGTTGCCTGTACATTGGGATAGACATAAAATATGCATAAGAAACGGCGCAGAGAGCGAGGCATATAAAGAATATAAATTCACAACATCTGCACGTGTGCGCACAATAGACAAAACACAAGCCCAAAAATTAAATGGAAATAATGGGCAACGATTTAAGATTTTTATGAACAGTGAAGAAATCTCATAAATTTATAAACTACAAAGTTTGTTCTAGTAAACGGCGCACAGCTAGAAGATACCCTGTGACCTCTTCTTTTATCCTTCCTTTATAAAACTTCAAAAGTAACTTAATTTTTTACTGACCGAAGGACTTGCTCTCAAAACGTTCAATTTTGGGGAACGGGCAAATTACTGATTGATAATTATGAGTGTACATATTTTCTGGGCCTCCTTCTACCCATTTTGAATGGCAACAGGGTATAAACATATTTAACAAATAAACAATTTAAATGCGGTTGTGAGATGCTAAAAACAACACGTTAGTCAGCTACGTGCCTGGACTGGATTAGCCCATTACACTCACCTATAATGGCCTCATGATCGAACTCCACATTGTGCTCGCCCAGCTCGCCATGATGATGTGCATCCCTGGGTATATAGACGCCATCTTTGACACGCTCCTTGCTCAGATGCTTCTCGTGCTTGTGGCTGTTGGCCACGGCACCGTTGGCGGGCATGGGTCCAACAATTGCCAGCACGCCAATGGCGCACATCAGCATTGGCCAAAGCGGCATATTTCTGGGCATTTTGTTGCCCAATGACGACACACGCGGATTTGTTTATATGGCACTTGAAATTTGCCAGATCGTTGGCCCGTTCGATGCTCGCCGTTTGCTCGTCTGACGTACACTAAGGCCCTGCTGAGAATTTGTTTGCTGGCCTTTTGCTCTGGGATGCTGAGCGTTACACACACACGCACACACACACACACACAGCCTCTTGTAGTGGCGGGCACTTGAGTTCCTAGCCGCCGGCGACAAAGACGACCGACGCACACGTAATAGCCAAAAACCAATTCTATGAACTCTAATGAACCCAGTCAATAGATTTGCGTAACCTGAAATATATATACGTATGCACATATAAATGAATATATGCATATTTAATACATTTACAAAACAATTTTATGTTTTGCTTACCAGCTGTTTGGGCTGTGCACACAAATTTGTATAGTAAGGCTTTGCGTATTATATCTGTGCAGTCTAGCTGCTTGCAAGAAATTACGCATGCACTTTTTATATAATAAAACTTTAAATTATAGTATTTACAAGCATTTTAAAAAATATATACTTTAAGCAGGCTGGTTAAACAAAAATCGCAGCATCCCCACAGCGTTATCGAAAATGTAATGCTGTTATCGATATACCACTGCAGCTGGCATTGGTGATGGCACCTATTGTTTGCAGCATATCGATACAGTCGCACATCACTAGCTATTGTTATTGCAAATATAATTGTTCGCCAACTTTGACCGGATTGATAAACTAAACATAAATTAAACATAAAATAAACTCAATATTTAACTCCAAGACTGTCACACAGACAGCTTAGGAAACCTAACACACAAAACTGGTGCATTTATAAAGGGTAAGTTGGATTAAAATAGGTCGACAATAAACCAAAAAAAAGAAGAAAACGGGCACCTAAACCAGACGAGAAACGGGACTTAAATATGAATAAATAAATTCAAATGACATCATTTGTTGCGTTTAAGCGCACCCAACAGCTATGTTTATGACTCGCGCATTTTTTTATTAATATTTTTGTGTGTGCGCGAAACACGCACAACGATACAAATACCAGGCATTCGAAGGGGTGCGAGTGCAACAGAGTGGGAGGGTGGACGTTTTATGGTGCAATTAGAAACGGGCCTTGCGTAGGAGTTGTTGACCGGCTCTATTTTTGGTTGACTAACGAGTATTCACAAATACATATATTAACTTTAGCAACGTAATTATAGCCTATAGAGCTGTGAATAGCCTTACGAACATGCAACTGGTCAGCGTCTGATTGTGACAATGTGTGCGCTTGTATGTGTGTGTGTGTGTCTCTCATGTCCTGGCCAAGAGCGCTTTTAGTTGTGGAGAGTAAAGATGGGCGCGTGTCAGATTTTTCAAACACGAAAGAATTCGTAAATGCGCAAGGTCAATAATAGCTTAGAGTGCAAAAATATTAATAATTTTTACAAGATAGGCGTATTTGTTTTATTTAGGGAAAAATCTACGGCCGCCTACGTAGATACATTTTTTTAAAACTATAAATTATTTTCGTGTTATTACGATAGTTGAGTATTGAGTTCGCGTGTGAATAAAGAAAACACGAAATGCGCCCAACTCTAGTGGAGAGAAGGGATTATCTATTGGCTGCTCGCTGCTTGCACACATGTGTGTTAATCCAATATAGTTGTTAACCGTTACAGATAGAGAGACAGAGTGCGCACGCGAGAGCGACACAACGGCAGGCCCATTAATAACAAACAAAAGCAAACAAACAAACAACAAAAACTACTTCAACAAGGGAAAACCTGAAAGCTCGCAAACAAAATTCAGTCGTGAGCCAGCCTTCAGTCAGCACAGCAGTTAGCTTTTGTCGTGCAGCGGCAAATATTTGGGTTTATTCAAGTTTGAACCGGTTTACTTCGTAACGACCCCGCCCGCGCTAATAAATAGCTAAAAACAAAAAAGGAAAAAATCAACAGTAAAAACTTATACCAAATGCCGTACATTATCATACGCGGCAATCTAGCCTCCTACAGTCACAAATATCCATGGCGTGTACTTGTCTCTGGACTGAAAGGTAAATCAACAATTGCAAGTAAAAGTAGAGCTCTCTCCCTCTCTCTCTCTCTCTCTCTCTCGCTCTCTCGCTCTCTCGCTCTACATTGAGTAGTGCCTTTTATTTCGTTATTTTTCACCGTTGGTTTCTTATATTTGTTTCGAGTTAATATTGTTGACCATGTCAGTTTACTGAATTGCGTCTTCATTTTTTTTTCTTGTCTGTTTTTTATTGCGCGACACAAATCATTTCAAGAGTGCCTCATCATATTTGTAGACACACACTCACGCATGCACAACACCCACAAGTCTGAGCGTTAGTTAGTTTTTCTTTTGTAGTCGGTTATTCCACTTTACACTACCAACTAATTTTTGAATGAGTCCGTCCTTGAGTGTCTGTAAAAGCCCCTGAGCTGGTGTGTTTGTGTGTATGTATGTATTTGTGTGTAGCCTGGCCCTACAGTGGCGTCCTCAAAAAGTAGTTCAGGCTACACATTTTCATATCCACTTGATTATTTATTCTTTGCTTTCACTTTTCATTGCATATGTATGCATGTATGGCTTTATGGCCTTCAATAAGTCGGTATAATACAACGGTATGAGTCTTTAATCGGTATCAGCCAAACAAAATGGATTGCATTTGATAATTTTGTTTGCTAGTTTCTTTTATTGTATACCCTAGGAATTGAAAATAGTAAATAGTCTGTACGTGCCAAAATTTATTTCGTGACACAGCTGAAATTTGATTATTATGCGGAATAAATTATTGATAATATAAATACCAAAAAAGGGAAATTTAGATATTAGAATTAAAATTATATTTCAAATTTGTAAAAAAAAAAAAGTAATGAGTTTCAAAAAAATTAAAAAAATAAGAATTTTACAAAGGAAATCACATATCTGGACAACTCTGATTCCGTGCAGCTCAAAATGTATGACTACTTAATAATTAACTTAAGCAGATGCGAACTATTTCGTTTCGACATACATGTAAATGCTAATTCGTTGGAGAACAAGTTTGGCGCGATTCGCAAATGAAGTCATAGATAGTGTATTCGAGCATTGGCGTGCATGAGCACGATATTATTGCTCAAACTCTCTCTCTCTCTCTCTCTCACGCCCTGGCTGACGCTCTCTTGATTGTATTTCTTGTCGCACATTAAGCCGTCAGTTTCGTTTTGTTTCGCACTGAGTGCAGTTGAATTACTCCTGTAGATTGCATGGTGAGACATCCACACACACACACACACACACTAGCACAAATATATAGTATATATTTATAGACTTTATATTTACCAAGTTTTTTTTTTTTGAAAAGTCAATGCACTTTTCTTTGTAAATATGTTGCATTTAAAATGAAAACTACGTTGCGCTTTTGTTCAAAAATAGTACACAATTTATTGGGTCTTGGTTTTTGCTTAATTAGCACATCCAACACAGGCATACGTAATACACACACACGCGCGCACACACACACACACACGCGCACACTAGCAAAATGAGTGGAGGCCAGCGGCCGGCTGCTGACGTCATCCCACTGGCGCTCCAAGCATTATTATTATTATCTTTGTTCAGTGCTTGTCATATTGCCTTACTGTAAAAGCACCCCAAATTAAACAATATTAAGCCCCTATACAAACAAGTTGCGATAAGCCTCACAAGAGTATCTACTCCGACATTCGCAGCTGACGACATCGAACAGTTGAACAAGTTCTCCTGCGGCGGCTACAGTGATGAGTCCACAATTGTCTACCTAGTGCATCCGTGTCGCATTCTATCAGCCTTAGAGGTAAACACGCCCAATACAGTGAAAGCTCCCTTGAGCGGACAGCTCCTATATTAGTTGAAGTTTGTACAGATTGCGATCCTTTCGCTACAAAGAACAACATCAAAATATTGCTGACTCAAAAAATTATAAATAATATGAATATTTAAAAACTTGCCAAATGCGCACATTATCGATTGCTTCAAGTTTTCTATATCCATATCCATTTTTGTCTAAAAAGTTGCTTCACAAGTCTACAAATACTTGTTTTTCTGTAATTCTACAAAGAAATTTCTACAAAGAATTGGGCTTAAGACAATTAGCGGGAGCTGTCCGTTCGTCGAGCTTTCACTGTAAAGAAAAAAAGAAAAAAAAAACTTTGCTCCTAAACTCAAAAGTCTTGTTGCAGATTTTGGGTTTTCGCGTTGTGGCCAGCTCCTCGACGGCCGTTAAGCAGGACTATAACGAATATATGTGGACCATGCGCAAGGAGTTCGACGAGCCCGAACCAGAATCCGAGTCCGTATCCGTTGTGCGCGAGAATCTATCGAACATAGGTCGCGAGGCGGCCAGTTTAGGCAATTATCACAAGGTTGATTCGCCCGAGTAAAAGTTCTCTCTCCGAACTATTTCTGTGTGTGTGTGTGTTTGTATTATGTATTTGTTGTGTGTGTGTGTATGGAGAAACTATAGCAACCTGTCAGAGAAGCAACAGAAACTATAGAAAAATTAAATAACCAAAACGGGCATTTTCTGATTTTCTGACAGCCTTTTCGATATATATAATTTTCATATGTGTGTGTTTAGTGTTTAAAAGCAAAGTATGACCGATAATCAGCCAGCGCCAACGCAAAAGGAATCCACATTAAACTGCGAGTGCCCGCAACAACAACCACCGCCGGCGGTGGCATCGGCAGCATCGGTTGGTGCATCGACTGTGCCCGGCTGTCCGGCCAATGTTGTGACCATACCCGTACCCATACTGCAATCGGAGGGCAATTTTGCTTACGTCACCGTCAAGGGTTCACTGCACGATTACACTTGCACCGTGTTTGGGCTTAATCAGGCTGAGATACAAGCCCTGTCCAATCGTCTGTCGGTTAAGCCCTGCGTCAATGGTGTCCTGATCGCTGTGCCGCCCATGGTTATGCTGAATACACTGGCACAGCTCAGCTATAAGGTTGTCTGCAGTTGCGGCGAGGCCGAAATCTGTTGGACTATGCAGCGCGAGGTTTAGACAAAAGGATCAGAGATCAACTGACAGCCACAACTCAAATCCAAAGCCAACCAAATCAGTTCATCTTTGATCATCTCGTCACCATCAACAACAAGTTCAGTTAAAATCACGATACCTTTGCCAAGCAGTACATCATCATCGGGCAAAATGGACCAGCACAGTGCGGACAATTGCAAGTGCCACAAGCAGGCGCAGCCGGCACAGCAGACGCTCAGCGATATGGACTTTGATCGGGGCATTTGGAATGCGGGTGAGTCAAGCTCTAACGCAGTTTCATTAACACAATAACAGATCAAACTTTGATTGGGTTTTATCATAAGCATATGATTCATACAAACATATGTGCAATCTATTTGTATACCCAATCGGAGGGTATTATAATTTGATCATCAATATTTCAATAGCGAGCGGTTAAAAATGAAGGTTTCTATATGAAAATGTTTTGATATCTTGGTGAAATTGGGTATTTACCAAGCATCTTATCAATATCAGACTACAATATTGCCAAGTTCATAGAGAAAGTTTATGTTTTTTTGAGATATCTTAACTAAACATGGTTATCTCTTCTTTGGCATGCCGAAGATGTCCATTCCGCCCCAGAAAAAAAGGCACTCACTAATAGAGTTTCTCCCCATAGCCATATACAACGAGGTGGAGCGAGTGCGTGAGTTCATCAAGAAGGGTCAGGCAATGGCGCGCGACGATTGCGACTACACTGCCCTACACTATGCGGCCCGCAATGGCAACGAGCAGATCTGCAAGCTGCTGCTGGAGGAGGGCAAAGTAGATGTAAATGCAGTGACTAAAGCGGGCGCCACGGCTCTGCATCGTGCTGCCATGATGGGTAATATATATATACATTTCTATATTTATATAAACATACTTATAATACATGCTTCAATTGTTCCAGGCCACTTGGACATAGTCAAGCTGCTGGCGGAGCAGCCGAAGGCTAATCTGCTGCTGCAGGATGAGTGCGGGCAGAGTGCGTTGCATCGCGCCGCGCTCCGTGGCCAGCTGGAGGTGTGTCGCTATCTGTTGAAGCAGCAGCCAGCACTGAAGCTGCTCAAGGACAACAAGGATAAGATCGCATTTGAGTATATCATGGAGAATGCCAATGATGATTTCAAGCTGCTGCTAAAGCCCTAAACATGGACAAACATGAAGTAGTCAAATAGATTCTAACCGTTTTGTAGCTCTATAAGTTTGATCTATAATAATGTCCAAATGACCTAAATTTTATGGTATTTGTTATCATATTTTTTGTAGGCATATTCTATAGGGCAGTTAGTTCTCATTCGTAATATTTGTATGTATATTTTTTTTGTAAGCGCAAAAATGTTTAAAGAGAAACGAAACCAATTCATATTTTATAATTGTTCACAGTTTTCTCTATATAGTTGCCTTTATTGTAAACACGCAGTTAAAGTGTCTTAATTGAATACAAGAATATTGCAAAAGTCAAACTTTGGCATGAATCGAATCTAAAGAACATGTTGAATATATTTAGACTACATATGGGTTATAAATAGATAGATAGATTCCCGCTATGTGCATGCCTAAATGAAATGTTTTTTATAGTGTGCCCAGAAGATCGTGTACCTTCAACTAGACGCATTCAAATACCCTACATTTTCACATACATACACTACACTAAGGGGCAATATACAAACTATGCATACCTATGCTACATACGTATTATATAAATCTATATATATATATATTTATATGTATAATATAAATTACTTAAATAAATACCAGAAATTGCACACAATCATCATTTTAATAGATTCGTTGTTAATCCCATGACTCTGGAGATCGTATTACATGACCAATCAATTGCCTGCCAATCATTGTTGGCACCTCCGCGAATTCGCTGAGATACTTCTTGAGGGTCTGCGGCATGCACAGCTCCTCGTCCACGATGCGCGCCAGCGTCGAGCTCTGCGCCGTGGGCGGATACTTTGCGTGCAGCTGCGGATTCTCCTGCAGCGCCCGCAACAGTTCTTGCCGTATCACCTGGCGGGACAGCGATTGCAGTGGGCGGGGCTGGGTGCTCAACTGGCGCATGTCCTGGTCAAAGGTCAAACGGCTGGGTTCCGCTGACTTTGATGTGTCACTCGTATCGGTGGGCGGGGAGAACTTAAAACCAACATGTCCTAGTAAACGGAGAGAATCGAAAATGTAACGAATTATCAAAAAGCAACGAGAGAACATTACGACGAGTACAGTTAAAATATGGAACGAGTTGAAATGTGGTAAGAACTAAAAAAGGAACGAGTCGAAATGTGGTAAGAATTGAAATATAAAATGGAACGAGTAGCAAAAATGAAACGGAAGCCAAATGAAAATCAATTACCTTGAGAAAACATATAGAAAGATATGAGATATGGGAGAAGATTGAAAAATAGAGATAGTTAATAAGATGACAAGTACTATGCAGACATACGAAGTATGAAAGTTTCAATTGATCAATTAAAATACATTGATAAAGGGAAAGAGTTGAAAAGCTGAGAAAACTAAGCATTTTAATGTAACGAGTACAAATGTTATTCGTAAAAAAAGACAAGATAAATTGGGATAGGTTTAAGGTTCTACGAGTTAAAATATAACGAGTTGAGGTGAGAAGTGGGGTGAATAAAATTTGAATGGAAATATAACGAAAATATAAATTGTAGCGAGTAGAAATGTAACGAATTCAGGGTGAATAAAATTTGAATGAAAATGCAACGAAAAGATGAAATGTAGCGAGCAGAAATGTAACGAATTTCGAGTTGAATTTAATCGAATTTGAAATTGAACGTACCCAAGAGTTGAGCAAACGCCAAACTCTGCTGGTTGCAGCTGGAGCGCAACTCGTTGACAACATACTCGCAACAGATCTGGGACAGATTACAGCCCTCGCGCAGCAGCAGCTGGGCAATGTCCAGGCGCTGCAGGCTGATGGCACGCGCCAGCGGTGTCTCGCTATAGACGAAGCCACAGATGACGGTCGGCGCCTTGAAGCTGTAGAGATCGCGCCGTGCGCTGGCCAGCTTGGCGAGCAGAACGCGCAGAATCTGACGAAACGCATTGATGTTCTCCACCTGCTGCACGGCGAAGAGCAGCAGGCCCGCATCCTGGGCATCCGTATAGAGGCCCTGGCGACGCTGCAGCTCCGCCTGGTCCAGCAGATAGGCGAGCAACTCGGGCAGCTGCTGATGTATGGCCAGCATGATGGGCGTCAGATTGTCGGAGTCGCGCACACTGAGGCTTTCGCCGTGCTGCAGCAGCAGCTCCACCATGCCGCGATCCTCGGCATCCGGGCCCAGGCACTGGTGCAGCAGATGCTGTGCGGGCAGACGCCGGGCGCCGCGCTCCAGCAGCAGCTCGGCCAGCTGCCGATGCCGGCCAACGGCCGCGAAATAAAGCGCAGTACAGCCCTGCTTGTCCTGGAGATTGATGCGTGCCCCACGCTCGATCAGCTCCCTGGCCAGCTCCTGCAGATTGCACGCAATGGCCACCATCAGCGGCGTCTCGCCCTCGTCATCCGTCTCGTTGATATTGATATTGGTCTGCAGCAGCAGATGTGCCGCATCGCTGCAGCGATTCTCGATGGCCAGATGCAGCGCCGTCTTGCCATCGCTCAGAGTTTTCGAGTTGACCAGAGCGCCGTGCTTGATCAGCTGCCGGGTCACCTCCACATAGCCGGCGCCCACATGCAGCGGCGTATAGCCCTCGCTGTTGACCACATTGATGGGCGCCTGATGCTTCAGCAGCACCGCGACGCACTCCTCATGCCCCCAGGCGGCGGCATAGTGCAGCGGCGTGGCCAGATCCGAGTCGTACAGATGCGGATCCTGTTCGCGGCAGCTGGCGCAGCACTGCGTCAGAAATTCACCCGTACTCTCAAAGGTCTTGGCATAGTAATGATATAGCTGGGAATCGTCGCCGCCTTCGTGCTCCGACCAGCTTTCGCCCTCGAACTCGTCCACCCATTCCAGCTTCTCCATGCCCTCCGGCGTGCTCTCCATCTCCAGCGTATCCGTCTGAGCTAGAAGCAAATCACCAGTTGACAGTTTTTTTTTCATTTCCAATCATTTAATTAGAAATTTCACAGCTCGTCTCTGACAGTTCCTCCAACGCCCAACTACCTGAGTTCCAACCGACGGCAGCTGGTCAACTGAAATATTCACAGAGCCGAAAGAACATTCAGGTGCATTATCAGTGGGCCACACCTGAGGCAGCCCAACACCTCAACCGGTTCTCACTCTCCCTCTCTCTCTCCCTCCTCGCTAGACAATGTTTACGAATTTTTCCATTTTCTCGCTTTCGTTTCTCGACATCAGTTTTGTAATTTGGGTCATTGACGGTGCTACACTCAGCGAAAAAATCATTTAGTTTCGCTCTTGAAAAATCTTAAATTAAGTTGTAATTATTACAAGAATTTTCATATTTGAAATATAGAGGAATTCTCCAGTAAACATAATTTGAGTTTTAAATAATCTTGAATATAAACTATGTTGAAAATTTTTTAAAATTAAGGAAAATTTGCAGCTGACTTGTTCTACTGTTTTTCTCCAAGTGTATGCTACAATTTCGAGTAACATTAGGCTGATGGATCTGATCAGCTGCCAGAAACTACCCTGGAACCTTAAGGGTGGAGGGTTTGGACTTGATTAAACGCCGTTAATATGTTAAGTTTTTGGGAATTATTTTCATTAATTAAATAATTCATTTAAATTTAGAATAAACTTTTTATTATTATATTATTTTTAGCCAAAATTCTAAACTTTTAAATATTACTTAAATATATAAATTTGTACTAAAGGTAAATTTGTTTGTCAACTAGGGGATATCCTGTTCTATGAAGGATGTTGTTGGATATAAGCTTAATGATACTTGATTTGTAATAACTATTATAGAAGCAGCCTGTAAAATTTGACTGTAGCTTTTAAAACCTGAGAGATTTGCTCAAAATCGATTCTTATCGATTGCTAGGATATATGGCAAATTATCGCTTATCGGAAATAAACTAGTTCAAAACCGTAGCTCTTCTAGGCTCTGACATTGACGGGCGAAAGATGGCCAGATCAACTCATCAATTGTTGCTGATCAAGAATTTATATACTTTCTGGGGTCGGAGATACTTCCTTCTGGCTTTATTCTATCCATTTTCAAAGGATTCAGGGTATAAAAACTTTAAAAACCGCTCGAAAATTACAAGACTCAGAGAAATTCTTATAGCAGGAAGCCCTATTTTCTTTTTCAAAAATAAATTGTAAAATTTTTTAATATTTAATGTTATAAGCAATAAAAGCCCAATTTTATGGGGAGTCAGAAAATATATAATATAGAAAAGTTAAAAAAAGTTTTTAAAAAGAGAACATTTTTTTTTAAATTCAAAGTTTTGAGTGCCTAAAACTTAAGCTAAGGCTTTTCGCGCGAATGTTTTTAATCAATTCAACAATTTGTGCAAAATTCAAAAATACTTTATGCCAACAACCAAGCAAAAAAAGCGCAAACATTTGCTATGAAAAATGGCAACAAAGAGATTTGGGGAGGATGGGACGCTTGGAATACCACCCTCGATTGATTTTCTATGACCAGCTGTTGCCCATGAAAGCGAAACACAAAGGCTTAACTTACACTGATGATAGAGATTCAGCTGAGGTTCCTCGCAGGATTGGACCAGTAGCTCCAGCAGCTCGGCGTCGCCAAGCAGCGCCGCGGTGCCAACAGCCGTGCGGCCGCATGTGGATGAGACGTATGTGGCCTGGGCACCTTCGAGGATGCAGTTGAGTGCCTGGCCAAAATCGCCGCTGTGGACGGCGCTCAGCAAACGCTCGTTGAGATCATAGGACAGCATTTTGCCATGGGGCCAGAAGTGTTAGCAAATTTGCAGCAGATGCAAATGGCAATTGAAAAAAAAATAAACAAAACGCGCACGCAGGGATTGCCGTGGAAAAGTGATTAAGACTGTCCGGAAAAGCGCACGAAAAGAGACTAAACGAATTAAGGCACCGAACTATGGAAAACCCACCACCCGGAGTGGCACGCGCTGTGCGGGAGAGCCCACAGAGAGAGAGAGAGAGAGAGAGAGGGAGAGAGCCGAGAGAGAGCGGTCGAGTAAAAATAGATGAGAATTCGCTCAGCTGTGGCACGTTGCATTTACACACAGCTACAAAGTTTGGGGTTTATTGTTGCGTCGCGATATAAAAAGACTCGCTATCAATTTAAACATTAACTAAACTACTTGATCTCCTTGGTTTCCTTGGCGTTCTGCAGCGATTCCGTGATGAAAAGTTTAGCCAGCGACTGAGAGCAGAATTGTGCAATATGCTGGGCATGCGTATTGATCTGGCCAGAGGTAATGGTGGCCGTTAACCTTGCCGGCACCGGCATGGGCCGGAACTGCTTAATCACCTCCTCCTCGGGCACCGTGGGCTCACCCTTCGAGGTGCGCACAGCATTCTCGGCAGCCAGTTTGGCCAGAGCACGATGTTTTTCCTGTTCAAAAATTACCAAAATTGAAATAGAGCATTTTTAGAGGGGAAGCAACATGCTTACCGTGTCCTGCTTAAAGACGACCTGCTGGTACTTGTTGTAGCGCACAGCCTCCTGGTAGAGCTCATCCACACGCTCAATCAGGCTACGCATGTGGTTCTCCAGCACGGAAGCGGTGCCCAGATCCAGAAAATTGTGTCCCTTATCCTCGGGAAGCAGTTCGTTCAGCTCGCTCATCATAATGTTGGTCAGCGGCGAGTTTTTGATGACAATGGGAATCTCGGCAAACAAACTCTCATAGCCAACCTTCAGGGTGCGGAATGCCTCGGGCGTAAAATCGCCATCCTTATACATTTGTATGGCCTGCGGTGTCAAGCGATAGGCCTTCAAGCACAAGAAGCCGCGCGATGACTTCTGTGTGTCGTAGACAACCACGACGGACTCCTCAATGCTGGTCTGGTAATGATACTGCGATTCGAGCAGCGCCAGCGACAGGCTGTTGCCCACATCGGAGCTCTGGTACCAGCCCACATGCAAGTGGTCGACGTTGACGCGACGCAGACGACGCATCACGGTTAGCTGATACATCTCCTCGTCCATGGTCTCATCGCCGCTCTTGGGAAATGGAAAACAGTTGGTGATTTCCAGGCACTTGTCCACAACCAGACCGAGCAGTGCACCCTGAGCCAAATCCATGTTGCTCGACTCCTCGTGGCAGTGCTTAACCATTTTCATGACGGCCTAAGAGGCAGACAAACATGTAAATATATATTCATTTCATTTGGAATCTTCCTCAGCGGCTCTTTTTGCATTTGTCATCGATGTCTCGCTCTCACGCACACACACACACACACTCAAACAAACAACATGCCCAGGCGCAGCGCGTGGCACTTAACACTTCTTTCATTGCAGCTTTTGTAATTTCTTTAAGCCCGACACTTGACACCATCGATGCACTTCATGTTGAACTTACCAGGCCATCGCATTGTACATAATTGATGGTATTATCTGAATCCTCAGTGCGAGCATGACGAGCCCCGCGGTTTGCCATTTTGACGACGACGAAGAAGAAAAGACGTGATGTTGGCCGCACACATACACATATAGGCAGCACAGAAACTACGTTACCCAACACTAGTACGCACGAATCAATTTTACAACACTCTCAATTATCAGCTGTTACGCTGACTGCGATAACAAATAAAGCAACAACAGCAGCAACAAAAAAAAAACAGTTTTTGTTTATCTCAGTTACTTTAAGAAAATTAAATTGCTTAACGTGTCAGAATTCGGACGAAACAAGCGAGACTGATTGCATCGTCGACGCTTAAGTTGAAACTTCAGCAAGCGCTCTAACTAGTTAGTTGCGACTTGAGACGCTGGCAAGCACAACGAAAAAGAGAACGCGGCCCCAAAATGACGGCTAATTGGCGTGAATTGTTTCCCACCAAACTGACCTTTATCATATTTCTGCTGTACATGTCATTATTTATTGGTCAAGGTAAGTGTATTATGGTACAGCAGAGACCGCACACTAATGTGTTACACCATCTGACAGGTATCTTTGTGACCGCCTCGCAGGAATCGAACAATTCCTATAGTTATAATACCGTGACCGTGGTACTGCTCACGGAAGTCTTTAAGCTCATAGTTTCGACGTGCCTCTATTGCAGAGAGTAAGTGGAAGCGACTATTTGGGGCATGCAACTAACTCTTCACTCTTTTCCGCACAGAAACAATCTACGCTCCTTGGCGCGTGACGTGCACAAGGATCGCAACGTGCTGGCGCTCTACATGGTGCCCGCGTTCCTGTACTGTCTGTACAATAATTTAGCCTTTGTGAATCTCGCCACATTCGATCCCACCACATATTATTTGCTGCTGCAGCTGCGCGTCGTCGTCACCGGCATACTCTTTCAAATCATATTCAAAAAGTATTTGTCACAGCGCCAATGGATCTCATTGATACTGCTCACACTTGGCTGCATGCTGAAGCAGGTGGACCTGAACAGCTTCTACAATGATGCCAACGATGATAGCGAAGCAGCGGCCATACAGGGCGTAGCCGCTGCAAATGCCACGCAAGCGAATGCCAAAGCGCTGGGCAAAAATATGACCGGCTTTGATTTTAGCATTAGCGCCGTCTTTATACTGGCCCAGACCATATGCTCCTGTCTGGCGGGCGTCTACAACGAGTATCTGCTTAAGGACAAAGGCGCCGATGTCAATATTTTTGTGCAGAACGTATTCATGTACCTGGACTCGATTGTGTGCAATGCGGTCATATTGCTGCTGCGCGGCGAACTGCTGGACGCATTCAGTGGCCACAATCTGGGCAGCATTATGCGCTTCAGTGTGCTCATCATAATTGTCAACAATGCCGCCATCGGCATCGTGACCAGCTTCTTCTTAAAGTACATGAACTCAATACTCAAGACATTTGCGAGCGCCTTGGAGCTGCTCTTTACGGCCGTGCTATGCTACTTTCTCTTCGCCATACCCATCTATTTGAACACAGCACTGGCCATTGCTGTCGTCTCGTATGCCATATACTTGTATACACAAAGTCCGGTTGTAAATCTGGGCAAGGTGCGTCCCTTGGCGAGCATTAGCGATGCCACCGCCAAATTAAACCCTAAGGAAAAGGAAGACAGACGCAAGCTGCTGGATGAGCAGGGCGACACAGACCTGGATATGGATATAGTCTAGTAAAATAGTTCGTAGTCTTCAAATGTAAATAGAACTCGTCGGCTCGTGTGTCTGGAAAAGTGCCTCCAATAGTTGAGAACGTCGGCGAACGTGCAATTTGTGTTCGTGTGTGTACACGTTTCTTGTATGTATGTGTATATAGCGTTTCCCTTCTAGATATTACCATTACTTTTTAAAAATAAAAACGAACACCATTACATAAAAAACAAAAAAAAGAACAGCATTAAAATATGATAAGAAATTGACAAGCTTTGGAATGTTTATTTATTTTGCGATATTGCAGAACTTTTTACACTTCGGCACGTGGTGGTGATTTTCGCGCTTGCAGAGCGATTTGTGTGCTCTTATATCCATGAAATTTGATGTAGTCGGCACACCCCGCAAAGTGCTGATCCATTTGCTCCGCCGGCAAGCGATGTGTGGCATTATATTTACAAACAGCTAGCGGAGGTCCTCTGTAATTGCGCACACACTTCACAATATGACCGGGCATTCTAAACAGCAAAATACGATGCTGTTCATTATATGGACATATACCATACTCCGAGTCAGACATTTCGAATGCTAACAAAGAAAAGACAATTAATTATATATTTTGACTTAAATAGCCATACCCAAAATTGAAAGTACCGCTACTTTACAGCTAGAGATGCATGCTCAGCAGAGCTGTTGTAATCGACAGGCGGCGACTCTAGGCGCTATCGATACTATTTTTGGAAAACATGCGATGCCACCAAAAGTTCGGAGATACTATAATTACTAAACACTAAGCGATTCCGATTAATCAGCTGAAATATGCGCTTAACAAATATAAATCTGATGGTAACAACTACTTTGTAAATATTATTAAAATTCATACTTACCTTATAGAGCTTCAAAAATACTCCGTTTCGATAGTTTTCTATTTTTGTTGTTTCACCTCTAATCGATACTCCTCAAATGCAGAAAACAATCCAGCAGTATCGGCTCCGCTCGACCCCTCGCTCTTCATTCGTTGAAAGCGTTTCGTACAGTTCGGACGTCACTTTTGCCGAGAGAAAAATAGTGCGCTAATTGCAGTAATTGTGAAAAAAGAGAATTTTCCGCTATAAATAATGGCACGTACCAAGCAAACAGCTCGCAAATCGACGGGTGGAAAGGCACCCCGCAAACAATTGGCCACCAAGGCTGCCCGCAAGTCGGCACCATCCACGGGCGGTGTAAAGAAGCCTCATCGCTATCGCCCTGGCACGGTGGCATTGAGAGAAATTCGTCGCTACCAGAAGTCCACAGAGCTGCTTATCCGCAAGCTGCCATTCCAGCGCTTGGTTCGTGAAATTGCCCAAGATTTCAAGACCGATTTGCGTTTCCAGTCGGCCGCCATCGGCGCATTGCAGGTAAGCAAATTGGCGGGAACGAGCAAAAATGGTGGGAATATGTCATGGCTGCTGTCTATGAAAAGTGGAGTGGGGGGTGGGGCTATTTCATGCCATCATGTAATGAGGAATTTAATCACATAAAAACGCATTTGCATTGCAGGAAGCATCCGAGGCCTATTTGGTTGGTCTGTTCGAGGATACAAATTTGTGCGCCATTCATGCCAAGCGTGTGACCATCATGCCCAAGGACATACAGTTGGCCAGACGCATCCGTGGCGAGCGCGCCTAAACAACGTGTCCGCCATCTTTAATTAGAAAAGCAGCGCAGCTGCTGCCGCTAACAAATACAACAACAACAAAGACGATATCGACGTCAGCGTCGCTGCCAAATGCAGCTGCTGCGGCTGCTTAGCCTTAAGTTTTATAAGATTTCTAATACTTAAAATATAAGTAATTCAATCAAATAACTATGCAAAATTTGGTCGGTATAATAAAAGTACATTCAATTGTTTTATGAAGAACTTTGCTCAAAACGAAAACGCAGTTTTTATTTTACTTGTGTGTTAGTGTGTGGGTATTGGTAGAGTGTATGTGTGTGATTTATGTATGTATGTTTTTGGGGGTTGGTTTTTGTTTTCCTTTGTAATAGCAAATGCAATTTTATTTAAAGACAATTGTGTCCAGCATAGCTCCTAAGCACTGTACAATATTATTTTGCATGACCTTATCAACTTTCTCTTCCAAATGCCGTTTCGGGTCCTGTTTGCCCACATTCTTGATCGCCAGCTGCTCGGGTGTCATTTTCTCCTCATCCTCGAGTGACTGCAATAAAAAAGTTCGGGATTAATTGAGAACTTAGATGCACACATGTATATGTGTAAAAATGTATGTACATATGTATGTATATAAGCGTATTGCATGCATGTATTTGTACACCTTCTGTTTGTCAACACTGAAACTAAGGCATCTTATCTGCGCAGGCAGTTAAAACATTAATAAATGGAAAGTAGCAGGGGTATATACGTTTACGTTACGATATAATCAATTTAAATGTCAACTTAATTTGGTCTTATTTTAGCAAATTTTCCTATTTTTTAAAAAGGTAGATATAATTCATAAGACTCAAAATAGGTTATGTTTTAATAAATATTGAATTGTTAAATTCATAAATCGAAGATGACCTTGAATATCTACCATATATGGTAATTTAAAAAATGACTCAGATAATATTAATAAATTGATTGGTTATAAGTCTTTTATGGGTAAGCCCATTTGTTAAAGCGAGACAACACGTTAGTCAAATTGAAAATTCAACAATTTAGTGGTTCATATTGCAGACTCAAAGAACTAGTTCAATGATAGGAATCAAATTTGGCTTCAATTGCAATTTTTGATTGGTTCAGAGATGCCACCTGGCAAAAAAATTCAATTTTAAATATGTGGCAAGGATAGAAAGCTAAATATTAAACTGCCACTGGAAAAATAGACTCAAACAAGACAATAAGTATATATAGTTTCTATATAAATATAAAAAGCGCTTACCTTGTTATAGTTCTTGGCCAAATCGAGCATTTCAGCCACTGTATCCTCATTAATGGAGCAGTGCTCGTTGTAGTCGGCGAGTGTTAGTCCATCCTTCCAGGACTTTTTGTGCAAATTCAGAAGCATTTTCTGCTCGAGCTCGTTCTTGCGGTAGTTAATGCTGATCGAATAATAGTGACGATTCAGGCCATGGATCAGTGCCTGCACGGATGGCTTCTGCAAGTGTCCCAAATTCGAGGTAGTCTGGCGCGGCTCCTGACCGAGCACCAGCATATTCGGATTAATCAGGCGGAAGGCATCGATGACCACTTTGCCCTTGACAGACTGTATGGGATCAACGACAACGGCCACGGCACGTTCTGATAGTGCTTCAAAGGATTGCTGCGTGTTGATATCCACGCCTGACAGCCAGCAGCCAAAGCCAGGATGTGAATGATACCAGCCGACAACCATTTCGGGTCGCCCCGTCTGCTTAAGCATGTCCAACATTTTGGCCTGAAAAACGGGATCGACAGCCTCCACACTGACGCCCGTGCCTGTCTGTGGCATGGCAAACACATCAATAACCTGGACGGTGTAGTCATCCACAAACTCGCCCAGCATCAGACCCATCACCTCCATGGGCACACCAGCACGACCGTGCTTCAGCATCTTTAACAGCGCCAGAGACGAGATGTACACCTGCTCAGCGGTGTCCACGACGGGCGCATCTGTTGGTGGTGCGGCCTGTGGCATAGCGCCGCCTAAACGTAGCAAACGGTCCATGATGCGACTGCAAAATTGTTGGTGGATCTGTAAGCGGGGCGCACGAAACTCTAGCACAATCGGGCACTCACCTTGTGGGTATTTAAACAACGTGTATTTCTTGAATTTATTTTAATTTTACTTAATTTAAGTAGAATTTTGCTTGCGGCAGCAACAAACACAAAGCAGCTCTTGCTCTTATTTTTTTTGACAGTCAGCGTCGGCAAAGTGCAAGTAATACTTGAATTATCGATACAATCGCAAAGTGCAACACTGCCACAACAGCTGTGCGCGCAATTTTGCGTTAACATGGCGCACATCATTTCTGCGTTAACAGATCCGCAGCTTATTGAAAATGGTCTGCTGTTAATGGAGCCCACTGTTATCAATAAATTGCGCATGTAATTATTTAAGTTCAACGAGTTCATACTGAATGCATGTTTTATAGCCAAAATACAATATTATCAGTAAAACGAACGCGGCCAAAGAACTATTGACAATCTTAGGGGCGTCAGTATGTGGTGGCCGACCGATATTTCAGTATCGATAGGCTGTATTGGACATTAAATCACATTCAGCGATACATCGACAGCATTAGCAGCGCATGCTTGGTATCGATAATTTTTGGGAATTAATCATTCATCTATCTCTACATTTCAGTCTCTCCTTCGTATTTTACTTTGTGTCGTCGTCGCTTTTGTGAACAAAAAATACGAGAAAAAGTTAGAGGCAACGAAATTTTGCTTCAGCATTTTGAGCAAAATTTCAAGAAACAAGTGCAACACAGCTAGCAACTCACTGCAGATTTTGTTTTGTATCCCCGTCGTGAACAAAAGCCATCAAAATTGAGTCGACAAAGATTGACGAGACTTTTCCTCCAACAACTGCTATGGAGGATAAAGCAACAACAAAAGATCTAGATCAATGGATTGAGCAGTTAAACGAATGCAATCAATTGACAGAAACACAAGTTCGCACCCTTTGCGATAAGGTAAGGAGTCGCCAGCTTGCCCTCATACCCCGTAAAAAAACGATTTAAAAATAATTTTCATCATCATCTGTGACTCTCGGCAATTTGGCCAATGATGTGTGTATTTTTCTCTCGCTCATGAATCATGATGCGTCGCCATATTGGTGAATTCCAACAGCCAAGCGCCGCTATGCTTATCGTGCGTGCAAGCAGGATGCCAATAAGTGTTGCGTGTATGTGCGAATGCGACAAATCGATTACTCGCCGCCTAGGCCAGAATATATTTCGTTTTTTTCCTTCTCATCTCATTTTTTTATTTCATTATATAGCGCTTGTTTAATTAATGATAATGGCAAACTTGCCTACTTGTTCCTCTATAAGAGAATAAATAAAAATTGCAACAACCTTGCTTTTCGTCCCTCTGACCGTACCTGCGTCACACCGCCTAAGTAAATATTACTTAATGTTGTTTGTGTGTTGGTGTGTGCTGTGCTCTTAGAATATGTATCTATGTATGTATGCATGCACCGTAGAAACGCACGCACACTTGTTCGAACAATATTGAATTCAATTAAACAAATTAATAAAAAGCTCACGCGTATAGATATTTCACACCAATATGCTCATCGATATCAATTATTTTGAATTTGCGCTAATTTCACCGTTGACGCGGGGCCTCTTTCGCTCTCGCCCCATTGCATTCGAGGCCCTCCAAGAAGTGGGGTTATGTTTGCGTCACTCGAAATATTTTGTTGTGCCCAATTGTTCTATACTCTCCTCTCCTCTCCTTTGGCGGGGAGGTGCGGAGCGTCGCTCGTCGTTATGCCAAAAAGACTTGTATAGATTGTTCTAGCGGAAGCGGACGCTGAATGCCTCCGACAAGGCAACATGGCTAACAAAAAAAAAAAAAAAAAAAAAAAACCAATTTAAATTGGTTCAAATAAATCTCTCGGTATTGCGCCGGGCACCACCACCCGGAAACATATCTTTCACACGTCATGTCTCATTCATCAGCAGCAAACAAAATTATGCTATAAACAAAATACACATTACGCACATATACAAACAGCGAAAGCTCATGTTGGGCGAACAGCCATGGTCCCGGTCAATGCCGAGGCAGAAGTCTGGCCAAAAGCTATGGCGAGGCAATAAAAAAAAAAAAACACTGGAATAGAGTCTTACAAGAGATCTGCGCGGTACGAATTCCTTCAACTCGATTCCAACCATCGCAGTCATTCCATTTTCACGGAGTAATTTTATCCAACAGGTTCCGAAGTCTTCCTGCTGATATCACACAAAATGTGCGTTCCCTTTCTACCATCCTCCATCCAGGTCTTGAGTCCAACTCTCCATATCCATATCCAAACTTTTACATATACTTTTCCAAATGGCTTGGCTTCAAGTATTCTAAGCTCAAAGTCTGTTTGTTGGAAAAGTAGTTATCCTCTCCAGGATTAGTTTTCGGGTTAAGCTAAGGGATAAAAGGCAGCTGCTGTTGGGCTGCTCGTCATTGAAGCTTTCAGAGTATATAGCTTTCATATATATATATATATATAATCAGTTGTTATCATACCTTATCGTCAATTGGAGCTTTTGTTGTGTATATGCAAAATGAGATAAACTTATTTGTTTGATATTTCTGTTTGCAGGCAAAAGAAATTCTTTCAAAGGAATCCAATGTGCAGGAGGTCAAATGTCCCGTCACCGTGTGCGGAGATGTCCACGGACAGTTTCACGATCTGATGGAACTGTTCCGGATAGGCGGCAAATCGCCCGATACAAATTATTTATTTATGGGCGACTATGTGGATCGTGGCTACTATTCGGTGGAGACGGTCACATTGCTGGTATCGCTAAAGGTTCGCTACCGGGAGCGCATCACCATTCTGCGCGGCAATCACGAATCGCGCCAGATAACACAGGTGTATGGCTTCTATGATGAATGCCTGCGCAAGTATGGCAATGCGAATGTGTGGAAGTATTTTACCGATTTGTTCGACTACTTGCCATTGACGGCGCTGGTGGATGGCCAAATCTTTTGCCTGCACGGCGGCCTCAGTCCGTCAATTGATAGCTTGGATCATATACGGGCATTGGATCGCTTGCAGGAGGTGCCCCACGAGGGACCCATGTGCGATTTGCTCTGGTCCGATCCCGATGACAGGGGTGGCTGGGGCATCTCGCCCCGTGGAGCTGGCTACACCTTTGGACAGGTAAACAAAAACTGTTTGCATTTAACCGGACTATCAGATGTGCTAATTATTTGATTTTTCCGCCTTTTGTTCTGCTTTATAGGATATATCAGAAACATTTAACAATACAAACGGCCTTACACTGGTCTCGCGTGCACATCAGCTGGTCATGGAGGGCTATAACTGGTGTCATGATCGCAACGTTGTCACAATATTCTCAGCGCCAAACTATTGCTACAGATGCGGCAATCAGGCGGCACTCATGGAACTGGATGATTCACTTAAATTTTCATTGTACGTCCATATAGATTATATAATATTGATTATCGTGTGTAATCTAACTATAATCTCGTTCTCTCTCTCTCCCTGCACAGCCTACAATTTGATCCCGCACCGCGACGCGGCGAGCCACACGTAACGCGAAGAACACCAGATTATTTCCTTTAAACTGTTTTTGCGCTCGGCAAATGCAGCTTACAACATTTACACACATTATTACATAAAAAAGAAAAAAACAAAAAGTTTAAAGAAAATCAACCACAAAAAAACAAAAACAAAAAAATAAACAAAAAGCAAAAAGTATGTATGGCAAGCCGTTGAAAGAATAACAATAAGAACAACAACAAACTTCAACAACAACACAGAACAACTATCAATAATTATATCGATTTCGATGCATTTTATTGTTGTACCCCAAGACCATAATTTGCAAATGCATACGAGAATGTTGTACAACAATTGGATAGTGGGTGGGGTCAAGTTGATATCAGCAGTGCGAGGGCGAATAATACAATCCAATCGAACCTACCAACCCAGCAACAACACCAACACCAACAACAACAACAACTACAAGAACTACAACTACAACTACTTAGCTAAATTTGTTAATTTATAAAATAACGAACTAAGCGTCGCAAGCAGCAGCAGCAGAAGCCAGACATGATGGATGTATGTGAATGTGGTGGGAAAGGCCTGGAACCGACGGGGGGTTGGGTGGGTTGTTTTGTTATTTTTTTTTTGACATTGGACCTACAACATTTTTGGACAGGACACGGCGGACACACATTAGCAGGACGACAACAACAACAACAACAAAATAGCGACAGCAGCGAAGAACCTTTTGGGGCGGGGGAAGGCGTCGTCTGAGCAACAGCGGGCGGTTCAGCGCTTCGAAATAAATAAGGAATATATAATATAAAAAAATAAAAAAACAAAATATTAATAATACTGATTACAATTAAAAAAAAAGAAAAACAAAAACAATATAATATTTAAAAAAAAAAAAAAAAAACAAAAGCGAGAAGAAACCCATGCAAAAATTTATTCAGTAAATTGTGCCCGTTTTCACTTTTACTGCACAAACAAAAAAAACATCAAGTTTCATATTTTGCTTTTTCAATCGAATAAAAAAAAAACAAAAACAAAAAATAATCAACGATTGCACATTTTTTTTTAAATTTACGCAGTGAAAGTGAATGCAGGCACAAGCCTGATTATAAATTAAGTTCATATGTAACTTTAATATTAATAAAAAAACAAAAACAAACAAAATGCGCGTGTAAACAGGAAGCTATGCATAAACAACAACAACAACAAGCGTTAGCAGACGAAGAGCAACTTGAGGAAGAGCGCGCTTAAGCTAAGAGCGCGCGCTTTTGGAAATTTGCTGCTGGCAATGCTGGCGCTCTGAGCGAACCAACGGCATTTTTGCGCCAGTGTGTATGCGAGCGTGAGAGCGCCAACAGGCAGAGCCGCGCACGCTGCTGTTGCCCCTTAATTGAGACTTGGCTTAGCCACGCCAAGGAGCCAGGAGCCAAAAGTCAAAACTGTGGCCAATAAACAACAGCAAGACGTAAATCTGAAATCTGAGTGCTGCATATTAGTCACACGCACAGGACACACACACACACATACGGCACACACACACACACACACACACACACATTTCAAAAATATGTCAGGCTCTCAAGTACCGCAAAAAAAAACTTGCCAGCAACACCTACGGAGCGCCGCCATCTATCATACGGCAGCATGTGGCATGGCTTGTGGAGGGAGGTAATTGTCACTGGCTGGTGGGGGTTGGAGGCGGCTGCTGTTATATTTTATTTTTTTTTGGGCGGTCGACGTCAACTGCGGCAGCGACGGCGACGGCGACAGCGACAGCTACTGCGTTGTATGCGACATGGAAAATCCATTATCACGAAATGAATTTTTACTGAAAAATTTACATAGCCGCGAGCGCCCGCTACCCGCTACCCGTTGCCACGCCCCCTTCGGCTCCCCGCCAGCCCCCAAAACTGCTTCCCTGCTCAACCGCCCGCATGCATATAAATGTGAAAATAAATCCTGAGTGCGTGTACAGATGCGCTGCAAAGGATGCTGAATAAACACAACAACAATAACAACTGAGAATTGAACTGCTCGAGGTTGACAGACGCGAAGATACCCTGTATAGAGCATTCAGCTGGCTTTATCAATATTTGTGTCTGCTTTGATTCGCCTGTTGACTAAGTGACAACTGAAAATTGTATTGCTCGAGATTGACAGTCGCAAAGATACCCTGTAAATAGCATCGAGCTGGCATTATCAACACTTGCATGTACTGCTTTAGAGTGCCCAACGGGCAGATACCATGTAAACAGCGTCCAGTTATTGCTTTTAATTTACGCCTGCTTTCCTCAGCTTCACAAGGTAAGACAAAAGTTCATATTTCTTTTGTTGAAATCTATATATTATGAATTTGTTGGGGCCTGACTATGACATGGAAATGTGTGCCTATCTAAGCACGCATTTCTTTCAGTGTATTGCCATTATATATCCAAAAGGGACTGTTTTAGGCATATATAAAAACATATTTTGTATCCAGTTTCTATAACCGTCATGTTATCGTTATCGAAATGTAGGGTGTTATCGATAAATTGAATTATAAACTTGTACTGTATATTTTAACTTTCAAGCCACGATTCAGAATTCGATTGAGATCCTCATCGTACCTGGCCGTGTAGCTATCCTCTATAATCGTTGAGTTATGCTAATCAAATCAAAAATATTTAGGAAAAATGAAGATTCATCGATAAATGACATTATAACGTTGAACTGTATATTTTAATTTTGAAGTTCTGATAACAAAGCCTTCGATTTAGCTCTTCGTTCTTATTTGGTTTACGAGCAATGCCAATTGAAAACTTTTAAAAATCGATAATTTATGATGCTAATCGAGTAATGTTATTCGATACTTAGGAGTTGTGGGAGGTATCGATAAAGGGAATTAATCGAAGCCTTCGATTTGGCTTCTTGTTCGTATTTAGTGTACCTATCTTCTATAATTGCCAAGTTATCGATAAACGGGACTAAGCAAATAAGGATATGTATCGATAAATCGATTTTTAAGCTTGTTTATCGAAATTTTCGAATTCCGAGCTGAAAGCATTCTCATCATTATGCCTCGAACTGTTGCCTGTTGCAGTTATTCAAAATCATTGCATGCCCATCCACCCGTTTTAACTGTGTACTGGGTATGCAGTAGAATATCAACTGTGGTAAATGGGAAAAAGATTGCCAGAACCGTAGTCGAGTAAGGAATCATTGCTTATAGGCGGCAAACAACTCTATTTGATGGCCATTATGTAGCGCACATAAATATATCTGAATGTAGTCAAAGTTCCAGGTTAGATTTTATTTAATTAAAAGGCATAAATTCAAAACGTAGCGATTCCAAAATAGATGGCCATATAAAACAAAAGTGAGAGCAACGTGAAAAAATAATGAAACTGAAGAAAATATTAAAATTTTAAATGAACTGCTCAGTTTTTACGATTTTGTCCTTAGTTTATGGCGCTCTGGGTTCTGCGATGGGGCGGGGCGAGGGGGCAGTAGTCATTGGGGCATGCCTAAGCAAACGTTTTGTATTTTTATCGTCTGGCTGAGGGGGGGGGGGGGGGGGCACATTTTTGGGGCAAGTATCTTTTACGATGCAAATTTGTTGCTATAAAATTGAAGAGTGTAGCCGAAGCGTTGCCTAAATAAACTTTACAGACAACCAAAATGATGATGATGAGTTGCTCGTCGGATGTGGATGTGGATGCCTGGACTGGAAAGGCAACGCCACGTGCCGCCTGTGCAAAAGGTTGAAAGGTCAGGCACACTGTGTGTATGCCTGCCCAGCAATGTTGTGCCTGGACCTGCACTTGGACTAAGATGGGGTGTGAGAGTGGAGCTAGAACTGGGCGTGGAACTGGGACTGGGACTGGGACTGAGTCTGGGCTCTGGGCGTTGGGCTTTGGGTTGCCAAAATCAACGAGAATCGATTGCCGCTAAATACCCAAGTTCTTTGGGACTTAACTCAACTCTGTTTTGTATACACAAAAGTTTTCTTTTTGGGCCTTGCTTTTTATTCTTATTTTATTTTATTTTTTTTTCTTGCATTTTTCTTCTTTTTTTCTACATGCGCTCGTAAATCCCCAAAGATTTGCGCATAGTCTAAGGCGCCTTTTCTTTCAACTTCAATATATTTAAATATTTCTTCGAGTTCTTTTTTTTTAGCAATTTGGGTTCTTGTTAAACATGGAAAGTATGAAATATCATTAAATTTCTGATAAACTTTATCTCATTTCCTACTTTAAGTTATTCCGTTTTTGAGAGTGGAGAGTTTTTACCTTGGGGAACTAAGGGATTAAAAGAGTTTTGAGTTCTTAAAAGTGCTTTAAACCGACTTCCTTAAATTGAAAGTGTACTTTATTTAACTGCAGAGAAAGTCCTTTAACTTTTTTTATGCTCTTTTTCGGTTAAGAAACAAGAATTAGAATTTCAAAATTACATATAAACAACATAATACAAATTCAAGGGAGGGAAGCGCAAGGCTTAAGAAAATCTCTTCAATGTTCTCTAGGTTTTGCTTTCATTTGAAACGTTCCGAAATTCTCAAGAAATAGGTATTTATTATCTCAGAAAATCAACATAGTTCATATAGGAATGATTTTTACAATACTTTTATAGACATATTTTTTAGAAAACACGAAAATTAAAGCATTTTCCTAAAGCATTCTCATTTAAAGATGCTTAAATGGGAGTTTTTCAGAATATTATGCGAAGGAATCTAAGTAAATTTTTGAAATTTAGTTTCTTAAAGAAACGTTTATGTAACTTCTGTTAAGATTATTTTATTGTTTTCTTTTTTTCGGAGGAAATCTTTTGCCAAAGGCTGTTAAGATTATTTCGTTCTTTCTTTCTAGAGGAATGCCTTTCCTAACTAAAGAGAATTTTGTAAAATAATCTTTGAAGAAATCTTAGCAAATTTGATTAGTTTTAAGAGGAATCCTTTTTCTGACTTCTGTTAAGATTATTTTATATTTTTTTTTTGTATTTCTAGAGGAAATCTTTTGCTAAGGCTGTTATGATAGCTCATTTTTCTAGAGGAAACCCCTTTCGGAGGCTGTCTAGATTCATTCTGTATCTAATATTATTTATTTTTCTGGCGGAAACCTTTTTCCTGAGATACATTTTCGTTTTCCAAGAGCAAATCCTTTTCTTAAGCTGTCCAGTTTACATTTTTCTTGAAGATGAAACCTTTTTTCTAAATTTGTCAAGAATTCTTAAGGTTTTCTTAGAAATCTAAGAAACTGAATCTATATATCTGAATT